GCTACCACCTCGTCAGGGATCCCCCACTCTGCCTCCTCGTAGGGCCCAGCCCAACCCCTCCAGTGGTTCCAGAAGACGAGCAATGTCCTGCCCGCCCTTCACAGGAAGAGGTGGCATCGCAGGGCAAGAGGGGCTCTTCCAGGTCAAGGAAGAAGAGCTGAGGCACCACAGGCCCGAGTGGCCAGTGAGACACCCAGCAGGAGGAAGAGGGTCCACACGGGACACTCGCCCTCTTCCTACTGCTGGAAGTGCTGACTCTTGGCCTCTCTAAATGCCCCAGTGCCAGCCATGGGCTCTCTGGTCTTGAGGACCGTGGCCCTTCTCTGTCCTCATCTGGGACTCCAGGGCTCTGCACAAAACAGTTTCGGAGCCCAGGAACTGGTTCCTTCAGTTTTGGTCCCCACCACCTTCTCAGATGTTCCGCCCTGGCCAAACACAGAAGGAAAACAACGCACTGCTCGCCGGATCTCATGCTCCTGGGGGCAGGCGGTGTGACCGCTGGAACACCTAGAAGCCACCTGGCCTGGCCTCCCTTGGGGCCTCCGCCTTTCCTGCTTTCTCCCCCGTGGGCTGGCCAGAGGCCGCTCCTGTCCCCGCTCTATACAACTGCTTTAGCGCCTACATTTGCTTAATACCCCCTTGCCCAGTGCTTCCCACCTCCCGTAATGACGCTAACGGACAAGGGAGAACAGTAGTTTTCCCGAAGCAGGAGAGCCGCCCCCAGCTTCCGCCCGGCCAACCGGCCTGACCTACTATTGCTGCTACTGCTGCTGCTGGGAATCCTGGTGCATGCCGGGATTTCAGCCCGTTCCTCATGCATTTTGGTTTTGCTTGGGACTTGGAACTGTTGCTTTCTGGTCCATGCTGTGCAGTCTCTGGGATGAAGTTAAGAACTTCGTGGCAAGAGAGAGATGCCTGAGGCCTTGAGATTTTCAGGCTACCCATTGCACAAACCCAGCTCTTACCTAGAAGCATCTAGTAGCCGCTAGCCAAAGAATCCAGAAGAACCTGCTTTGGCCTTCTCATCAGAGGACTGACTTTAAGGTCTAATCTGCTCTTATGAGAGAATAAGAACTAAGTCCTGGAACAGATTTAGGATGCCGCTCACGTGGAGACCACCGCTGGGCACGTCGAGTCCTGAAGGTTATATGAACACAGGTGCACATACCAGGCTGAGCCACGTATCGTGATGCCCCCAAGAACAGTGGGAGCCATTTATTGCAGACTTTTATGATGTCCTGGGAAGAGGAGCTTCACAATAACTTCTATCATGTTCCCGAACGAAGAAACAGCAGGAGCCTTTGGCGTACAAACGCAAAGGGAGTAGAAGAGACACTCTAGGTACCTGGCTTCTCAGAAAGATGCAAAAAGACCAGGTTAGGAGATTCAGTTCTCACCTTAGCGAATGGAGGGAGGAAAATCTGATGTAAAGGCCAGTGACTTAGCAGTTCGAGCCCCGCAGACGCTGAACCAGAAAGGAGATCTTGGAACAGAACAGAAGGAAAGAGCCTGCCCGAGAAGAAGAGGCTGACAGGGACCTGGCTGTGTCCCAGGCTGGTGCTGCTGAGCAGCCATTTACTAAGTGCCTCTCAGGCTTCAAGCGCTGGTCTCCCATCAGCCAGGATGGAGCCCCACTAGAAGCTGTGACTCTCCGAGATGTCCACGTTCAGGGGCTGTAAGCTGGAAGGAGATTACAGGGGGAAGTGTTGGGCTGGCTTTCCGTCCCTCCCCCCAGAGAGAACAATGCTGGCTTTAGCTTCACACGATACTCTAGGATCTTATTTACCGTAGACAAAAACAGTGTCTGCAACCCCCCAATTTTAATGAGTCTCCTGCAGATAGTCCGTGCTGCCATTTTCTCGTGGCCCTGTACTCTGCAGACCACGTGTTCATTCTAGTGCTGCACAGCCCTCTTTCCTTGGTTCATAACTACAGAAGAAGCAAGGAAAAGAAAGAGCTGCACGAACTTGACTTCCAGAGTCCCTGCTCGCTGCCACGTTTAGAACCAGTTCGGACCCCTCGGCTTCTTGAAAGGGTCACAAGAGAAGGCGTCTTGGAAGAACTCTGTGCTCCCTCTCACGCGAGGCATCTGGCTTCAGCAGCACCTGAGTTCGTCACCCGCTGGGAAACCGGGCTCCAATGCTCAGCCTTGCCAACCAAGAATCACATCCCAGAAAACCTGTGTTGGATCTTTGGCTCTGCACTCCAAGATGGCGGCGGCAGCAGCAGCAGCAACGGTTCTTAGGAAATCCAGCCACCCCTCCCAGGCCTCTGGAGAGCCGCAGGGCTGGCCGCCCATAAAGAGGCTGCCGTGCTTGCGAAGCTGGAGTTGCCGGCAGGAGTCCTAATGGTGGCCCTTGGTTTCTTGCAGACCTTGATGAGTGCCTCTCAAGCCCTTGTCTGAATGGAGCCACCTGCGTGGATGCCATCGACTCTTTCACATGCTTATGCCTTCCCAGCTACCGAGGGGACCTGTGTGAGATCGGTACGGCCGTCTCGGCTTCAGCTAATGTTACTAACTGCTGCACTCCCTCCTCCTCCCTCACCCTTCCCTTCTAACCGCAGGCTCTAGGCCCTGGCTGGCGCCCCCCACAGTCCATCCAGACAGCCATTCCAGGGGCCACAACTGAGAAGTCCACCCTACTCACTCCTATTCCTTCTCTTGCTGTTCCCCATGAAAACCCGCCTCTCTGGGGCATTGGCTGATCTGACCCCAGGAGAGACACATAGGCCGGGCCAGCCTGTACTTTGGAAGGGGGGTGGCGCTGGGGGACCTTTAAAACACTAACCTTCTCCAGGGTTTGCAGACCCGCTGATGCCACCAAGGTCGGTGCATGCATCGAACTAAGAGGACAGAGCCGATGCCCTGCATTTGTCTTGAATGAGGCTATGGGTGGGAGTAATTGGTTCTCGCTCTGGATGACAGTCACGGATCGTCCCTGCATGGTCACCGGAATGTGTCTGCCTGCTGGATTGCCCATGGGATCTTGGTGGCCCCTCCATGACCTTGGGAGCCACCGTGCCACACTGGCCAGCTGCCTTCCTCTTCTTCTCTGGCAAGAGCTATGGTTTGTCTGCCCGAGAGCTCTCATGTCACCAGCATGCTGAGGTCATGCATGAGCAGGGACGGCTGCATGTCACCTTCTCCGCATCACCACGGTGACAGCTGCCATGTCAATGCCGCTCCGTCCACACTTCCTTTCTCCCTCCCTCGTGCAAGGCAAATGGCTAGCCAGAGAGAACAGAGCCTTGTTGTCAGGGGCAGCAGCTAAGTTTCACCTCCTCTGCTTCTATACCGGGGCCAGGCTCTGCCGAGGGGAGCTGTGTGCCAGGAAGCCCCCGGGGTCAGACCGAGCCCTCAGCTCTCTCACTGTTGGTGCTTCATAGTCTCCCCCATCCTCCTGGATCTCAGGGCCATCCCAGCTCAGAACGGGGAAGATGGGGCTTATGACTGCTAGTAACAATGGCCCGTGTCGAACCGGAAGTGTGCGGGGTCCTAAAACCATTTTTAATAAACTCTCAGGTTGGACATCCGGAAGCTTCCATAAAGCAGTTGGAACTCCTGGGAAGTCTTTCTTTGGTCCTAAGCAGTGTGGGAGGTAGTTTTGGATTGCATGTGTCTTGGAGGCACTGCCAAGGTCACAGACTAGTAGAGGACCTTAAGGCTTGTGGAAGAAAAGGCCTGAATCCTTCTCCTCCCCTGCAGCCTCCCACCCTCCGCCTTCACCCCAAGACCCCAAGAAATTGGTGCATGAAGTCTTGGCTGAGGTGGGAATGGAGCGTTATCAGGATTTTCTCCCCAGGATGCCGAGATATTTGTCGTAGGAGAGAAGGATCGGCAAGGTCCGCACAGACAACGGTTTGGGGCTCCATACTAGGAGAGGAGGTGCCCTGCTGGTGGAGGCAGGCTCCCCACTGGGCTCTGCACTTGATGGGACAGAGAGATGGTGCTGGAGCCACCCAGCTGGGCCCTGGGCCTGGACGCCCTGCTAAGCAGGGCTGCATCTCTTCTCCCGGTCCAATCCTGAGCCCCCACCACCCCTTGGGGACCTCGTGCCCTGGCTGTGGCCCCCTTGCTTCTTCCAGCCTTGCTGGGCTTCCATCACTGTTTCCCAGAGCCTCCATCCTGCTTGGCCCGGCCCCTCCCAGAGCAGCTGTGCCCTCAGGCTTTGCCTGCCCAGCTCAGCCCTGAAGCACTGAGGTGGCCCGAGAATGGACCCCACGGTCAGCCCTGGGATGATGTCTGCTAGTGCCACACCACCTCTGAGGCCCCTCGGCCTTCTTTCCAGACCTTTGCCAGGCAGCCAGGGACCAGGGGCATCCTCCTTAGCCCTCCTGCCGTTCTGCCTCTTCCTTCTCGGGCTGCCGACCTCCCCTTCTCCCTTCTCTCTGCTCTCTGCCCAAGTGTGTCGCTTTTGACCTCCCCTTCTCTCTGCTCTCTGCCCAAGTGTGTCGCTTTCAACCCTGCCAAGCCTCTACTCCTTCAGCCTAAACCTCCTTCCCCTCAGGTACTTGTCCTTTCTTCCTGGGACTGCCAGATTATCGGTGGCCCCCAGTCAGGGAGGCTGCCATACAGCCTGAGGGGTTCATGGCCTTGAGCTCAGCCCCAGGGCCCTGCCCAGTGCCATGCTGGCAAGTAGTTAACCACCGGCTCTTGGAGAGGAAGAGGGAGCCCTGGTTTGTAGGCATAATACTCCCCCCAGGGCCAATTTGAAGCTACCGTTACAATGTCAGTGAAGGCAGAGAAGTCAGGGAAGATACGCTCAGAGCCAGCTCCAGCGCCCCGCTGCCTCTGTCTGCCCGCTAGGCTGCTCCGAGAGTTCCAAGCCAGCCCCTTCTCCTGCACTCAGAACCCATTACCAATATAGGTTTGTGAAGAGAGAGCCTCTTCTCCTGACCTCGTCTGCCACCAAGAAATAAAATAAGCCAGGGACCTTGGGATGGGGACCCCAGGTTGTCTGTTTTGCCCTCCAACAGGCAGGCACAGTGTACCCAGCTAGAGGCACCTCTGATGGGTGGACTTGGAGCTTGGCATCTTCTCTGGACCCAGAGCAGACATTCCTACTCCTCTGTCCCCACCCCAGGTTCCATTTTGTGCCCTCGGCACTGCCTGCCGCTGCTGCCCTCACACACTTCCCCGCAGCTCCCTCGCTCTATGGAGCCCCTCGGAGCCTCTGAACCATGTCTTGCCTTAAACCTCAACACCTCCTTTCTCCTGCCTCTTTTTACCTGGCCTGAGGAACTCGGCCAGCCCTGCAGAGTGGTCATCAGCAGAGAAAGGCTCTGGGGAGTCAACATCAGGGGAAGAAAGTGGCCCTGGCGTTTCCCAGAGGGTGGGGACATGTGCCTGGAGGCTCTGGAGGCCAAGGCCAGGCCTTCTTGGCTTCCAACTTGAGCCTCATCCAGATGGGTCTCTTCCCTCCTTTGAGAGTGTGACATTGAAGGCAGGGTGAATGAGGAGTCTGTGCCATAAGACTGACAGCAACCGCCATCCTGAGTTGGCCTCGGCCCCTCCCTTCAAGCCCCTGACCTGTGTTGCAGACCAGGAGCTGTGTGAGGAGGGCTGGACCAAGTTCCAGGGCCACTGTTACCGCCACTTCCCCGACCGTGAGAACTGGGTGGATGCCGAGAGCCGGTGTCGGGAGCAGCAGTCACACCTGAGCAGCATCGTCACCCCCGAGGAGCAGGAGTTCGTCAACAGTGAGTGTGTCCGGGACCTGAGAGGAGAGTGGCCACGTGGGCCAAGGGCCTCACTTGCCAGAAGCCAGCAGACTTAATCAGGCCCAGTGGAGCTGCATAGTTGGGGGACCGTGAGGGGCAGGGGGGAGGAAGGGGGCTTCTGCAGCCTGAGTTACCTGAAATAAGAGGAGAGAGGTCTTTGGGGCCAATGACTGGCTATACCCAGGACAGCCAAGTGTCTGTCAGAGTTAGCCCCTGACTAACCTGTGGCTGTCGCCAGCTTGGGGAGGTGGTCCAAAGTGCACTCCAAACACGCATGTGCTGAGATCCTTGTCAGGACCTCGGAAGTAGGTGGCATGCTCCTCGGAGCCCTCCCACCTCCTGCCCCTTCATTCCCCCGGCCTCTCCAAGCTCAATGTCTCAGACACCCTCAGGGTATCCAACGCCATGCCCTACAACCGTGTCCTCTCTCCAGACAATGCTCAAGACTACCAGTGGATTGGCCTCAATGACAGGACCATCGAAGGGGACTTCCGCTGGTCAGATGGACACTCCTTGGTGAGTTCTGCTAGGGGCCTCAGGCAAAGTTGGTGGCTCAGAGGAGGGGCATTAAGACACACACACACATATCACCACCACCATCACCCCCTCCGCCAGAGAAAGAGATGCCTCAAACCACATGCAGACACTCCCTGAGCAGCTGCTAGACTGGGCACTCTGAGGGCAGGGATGGTGTCTCATTGACCCTCTGCCTTTGGACACTAGCCCCGGGCTGGACACGTTGAATGAATGACAGCATGAAGGAGGTGAATGAGGAGGGCAATGAATGAATGAAGTCAAACCCCCACGGGGGACACATGGAAGCTTTAGACGGGTTCCTTGCCCAGAGAACCCGACTCTACTCAAGGACAGAGACAGACAGACAGAAAGCACTAGAGATGCCAAAGGAACAGTACACATAGTAAATGCTGCCTGTCAGTGAAGGACCTCAGGGAAGGCTTCCTGGAAGAGGTGAATGTGAACAGGGTCACGGGGGAGGGGAGCATTTACACTAGAGAAAAGGGGGCTCTGTTTGTCCCGGAGCCAGGCTAGAGGGAAAAGCTTGGGGAGGTAGAGTGGCCTTGGGAGCCATTGTCTCGGCCACCCAGTCCTATCCAAGCAAGGCAGTCTGTCCCCAGCCCCTGCTGGCCCATATGGGAGAGGGGAGTGATGTCAAATCATTAACAGGGACTGTGACCCCTTTGGGGTTCTGAGCTGAGGACCACAGCTAGGTGGTGTGACCAGGTCTTTGAAGAGCCCATGGGTTCTGTGGTACCCAGGGCTCTTCACGATCCTGACCAGACTCCCAACAACCTTTGCACCAATGCCAGAAGAGAAAGGAGATGGGGAAGGGGCTTGACGGGGGGAGCAAGCGGGGATCGGGCCAAGCCACGAGGCTCCTGCCCCTCTCCTCACCCCTTCCCCATTCCCACCCACAGCAATTCGAGAACTGGCGGCCCAACCAGCCTGACAACTTCTTTGCCACCGGAGAAGACTGCGTGGTGATGATCTGGCACGAGAAGGGCGAGTGGAATGACGTTCCTTGCAATTACCAGCTGCCTTTCACATGTAAAAAGGGCACAGGTAAGCTGGGCCTGGGAGGGGTACAGGTGGAAGGAATCAAGACTTGAGGTTCCCGCCGTGTGACGAGACAAGGGCGAGTCACCTTGTCTCCTGGCTGCTGATGTCACCTCACCTCCACCAGGCAGACTGGAGCTGACCTGGGGGACCTCTCCCAGAACCAGCATCCCAGGGCCGATGGCAAGGGCAAGTCCACTCCTAGGGACTATTTAGGTCCCACTTTCCCCCTGTACCCGGACATTTTCACAAATGACAGTGTGCCCGGCTCTCGCCCATTTTCTCTCTTTCCCCCTCCTTTCTGTTTGCTCATCCCCTTAAGATCCTCTTCTCTTCCCTTCCTGCTGCTCTAAATCGAGGAACCCAGATGTTAGAACCGGTGGTTTCCAGATTCTGAGCGCGGTGTGAAAACACCCCTTGGCCAGCAGCCAGGGCTCATAGCTGGGTGTCTGGGCTCCACGTCCCTGTCACGGTGCCTCAGGCTCTGGGCTCATCACAGCCAGAGGGGAACACGCTAGCTCATCACGGGCATGGGTCATCATGAGAGACCCCCTGAGAGCCCTCTCTGAAGAGTGTGTGCCCCTCAGTGGCCTGCGGAGACCCCCCCGTGGTGGAGCACGCCAGGACCTTCGGGCAGAAGAAGAACCGGTACGAGATCAATTCCCTGGTGCGGTACCAGTGCACTGAGGGCTTCGTCCAGCGCCATGTGCCCACCATCCGGTGCCAGCCCAGTGGGCACTGGGAGGAGCCTCGGATCACCTGCACAGACCGTGAGTATCGTCCCTCCCACCCCCCTCCAGGCACAGCGTCACAGCCTGCCTACATGCCTTCCTCCCTCTCCCCGGAGCCCCCGTGCTGGGCCTCTCCCAGGGATCTCAAACCCCAGCCCTCAGGGCCATCCAGGGGCGGGGGAGGTCCCAGATCACTGCCTCCGGCCCCCAGGGAAGGCTCACTTTCACTGAGAGGATGAAAGAGAAAGCAGGTGATCTGCCTTCCTTTTCAACACCAGCCTGAAGCTCCTCAACCCAAGTTGGTTCCGAGAATTGAAACCTCGGGCCACCTTCATAGAGCAGTGGTTTCTGCCGGGGAAGGGAGCCAGGGTGGAGACAGGGCAGGATGGGGAGAGGCTAGGCTGGCCCCGCTCTCGGCCCAGGGTTCACCAAGATTGTTCCCTCTGCCTTCTGCCCAGCCACCACCTACAAGCGCAGGCTACAGAAGCGGAGCTCACGGCCCCCGCGGAGAAGCCGCCCCAGCACGGCCCACTGAGGGGGGCTTCAGAACACGCCCAGGATGCTGAGCCCAGGAGCCTCGCCAGGCTGACTTCTCACATGGATGATGTCCTCTCCTTGTCACTTTCTGTCATATAAGGAATTCCATTAAAGAAGGAAAAAAATGAAATCCCACATTGTGTATGCACCCACCTACCCCCAAATCGCCAAAACTGCATCCGATTTCCTCCCCAAACGCCAAAGCAAAGCAAACGTGTTGTGACCCGTGGACTGAGTTGAGAGACGTTTCTTCTTTCTCCCGTTGTGCCTTTCCAGGGACCAGAGCAGGGATAGGGGGAGCAGGGGAAGGGTTAAGTTAAATAAAGAAGATTATTTTTTGTTTCCTGACTTTATCCAAGAGCAGTGCAATCGTTGGTTCTTTCACCTCCAGGGAGAGCTAGGGAGGAGGGAGGTGGGAGGAGGGGCAGAAGGAGCTGGAAGGGGCAGAGGCCCAGGGTATGAACTCAGCACCACAGCCGAATGTATGGGAGGAGGAGCCGGGAGGGCTGCACCATCTGTGTGGGGAGAAGCCTGGGGGAGAGGGGACAGGTTCCTGCAGCCCAGGGTGAACGGGCAGGAGAGAGCCATCGAGGGGTCTTCCAGCATCCTCTTGCCTGGGTCTGCTAGCCTAGCAGGTGTCATCTCTCTCGGCAGGGCTGGGTAGGGGGCACTTCCCTCCCAGTGGGAGTACCGCCGCACCCCTCCCCCCCTCCCCCCACCCCCGGGACCGTGCAGGCACCAGGGTTCCGTACGCCTATTTATATTTTTGAAAATGAAGATTATGATAATTATAATAATAAAGACATTGGAAGAGATCTATTTCTTTTCCCTTTTTTTCTTTTTTAATTTTAAAGAGAAGGCAGCTGTGGTCCAGGGTCTACTGAAGGGGTTCTTAGGGAAGGGTGGCTGTGGGGACATGCGTTGACCAAATAACCCCAAACCGGTATGAATCCTATCTGTTCAGAAAGCCCGGGACAGGCACAGGCTGTTAACTGTGCTTTAATTTCACAAAGGTACAGATGGGCTTGATGGAGTGAGTGTGTGTATGTAAGTGTGAGAGAGAGAGAGAATGAGACAGGGGTGTGCTGTGTGTGGATCTGCATGTTGACACAAAGAACAACTCAAGTGAGACATCTGGTCACTTTGCATCGTTCGGTCCTTCGATATCGCACTGTTGGCTCGCATGGAGGAGCCGGCTGGTAGAACGCGATGCAGAACAGGACAGAGCTGCGATGGAGGAGGCGTCGTAGCACCATTTATTATCCAAAGAAAGCACAAATTCCTGAGGGCTACTCCCCAAATCGGGGAAAATGAGGACAAAGTACAGACTCTGAACTGAGAGTGAAGGGAAGAGAGGGGGCTTCCTCCCTCCCCTGGGATCTCATGCAAAAGCCCAGGGATGCACCTCCAGCCTCAGCTCCTCAGCCTTGTCGATAAGGACCATGAGCTTCACAGAGAGGTCAGAGGGGGCAGGGGCTGCAAAGCCCAAAGCCCAGCTCGGAGTCTCCTGGATGTCCTCTCCCCCGCAGGCTGAGGCAGAGGGAGAGCTGCAGCCATCATGCCCTAACCCCTGTGTTGCTGCTCCCTCTGGGGGTCAGCCTCCCCTGGGACCGGGAGTGGGGCTGGACTCGGTGATGGGGGGAAGTCCACATGAGCCCATGAACTTCAAACTGTCCCAGAGGAGAGGAACAGGAGGATTCCTGGTTTGGGGAGGCCTGGGGTATCCACCTGAGCAAAGGGAGGATTTGAGATCTGTTTGAATTACAAAACTAGCAATTAAAAAGAATTTGAGAAGTATAAAACAATACGAAAATTGCCCCAATCTACAAGAGAAAATGACCCACTCAATAAATACAGCCCGTGAGGGGAGGGGCTGGGTGGGGACGGAGCTGGCACTGGGCTCTAGCATGGACGGTAGCAGTAGACACCATACTTGCGGCTCTCAGGATCTGGGAAGCCAAAACTTCGGACACCAGGCTCCAGGGGCCCGCAATTGGGATGTGGGTGAACGACAGGGTATCGGGCACTGCCATCTGCCAGCCAGCCAGCATCACAGCGATCCAGGCCACGGAACTTCCAGGCAGCAAAGAGCTGGCCCACCTTGGCGATCTGGGCGCCATCTTCCTGGCAGGCTTCCTTTGCCTCTGCCAGTGTCAGCTTCTCAGGATGCTCCAGGTAGTACACTTGCCCTGTGGGAAAGTAGGACGTGAGGGCTGAGCAGTGGAGGGGACAGCTAGAAAGGACAGCAAGGCCTGCGGCAATGTTAGCCCATCCAGATGTCACCAGCCAACCCCCAAAGACCTGTCAACTATCTGAGCCCAGGAAACCACCATGCTGTGGGCATCTGCAATAGATACGTTTTGGGGATTACCTCTCTGAGGGCTCCATCCCCTCCTGTCATGTCTGTACTCCCCTCCACCCTTCCCTAATTGCGCCCTAGGTGGGCACTCCACCTCGGCTAGACCAATGAGAGTCTCTTGCCCACTCAATCATTTACCGAGTACCTACAATGTGCCATGAGCTTTTCTAGATGCTTGGAGTATGGCACTGAACCAATTTCTGTTTGCACTTGTCTATCTTCTCATGAAACGAGCCACTTGTGAAGACAGACTGTGTTTTACTTATTTGTGATGCCCAGGGCCTAGTCCAGGCCCCAGCATGTCTTAGGCACTCAGGAAATGTTTGATGGATGAGCAAACCAACGGTTGGCTCAAGCAGCAGAATCAAAGCCCTCAAACTCAGCTGCACATGGCTTCATCTGCAGTGCTCCAGGCAGAGGTGCCCCAGGGCGGGCAGGGGGCCCCTGAAGCTCCCCAGGCATTGCCCGCCCACCGCGGCCCGTGCTCAGCCACCCCACTCACCCTTGAGGGCAGCGGCGAAGCAGAACACGTCATAGCGGTGCAGGTGGCGGTGGCGTGGGCCGTAGCTGCGCACGCCGGGGGCCAGGCCCAGGCCACCACAGGGCCGCCGGGCCAGCGTGATGGGGTACTGCACCGAGGCATCCTGCAGCCAGCCTGCATTGCACCAGTCCAGGCCCTCCTCCCAGGCCCGGAACAGCTGCTCGAAAGAGGCCACCACCGCGTCCTGCTCCTGGCAGGCCTGCTGGGCCTCGTGGAAGTTAAGCTGGTAGC